TTGGCCCCTTCCCAAAGGCCATGAAGTGCTACCATTGCGGCCAACAGGTGATGACAGTGACCAGTCAAAAGGCCGGCACCATTACGTGGGCCCTGTGCTCCCTGTTGTGTATAGTAGGGTATGTATTTTTGTCATCATGATTGTTATTTTATTTTCAAATATATTTAATTCTATGTTTCATGATGGTTAATCTGTATTATATTGATATAGTTAGTGTTGTTAATAATGTGTTTAGTTAATTATAGTGATCCAACGTGGTATAATTTTTATGGAGATTTAAGTTAATACCATAAATTAATTTTATTACTTTAGTTAGTTCATTGAATTAGAGTAGATATTGTTTACACCTATTTATATCTGAAATAATTAGTAATTGAAATTAATTATAACTGTTTAAATACAATTTAAATCCTCGCAAACAACCATGATTAAAATAATCAATAGAGGTTTATGTAGTATATTAATAATTTAGGGTATTATAATAATTAAAAAATATGTTATTCATAACTTTTTTTTAATTAGTTGAAGGTCTATCTCAATTGAATAAATATTTACTTAATACAAACAATTTTCGATAAGTTACACAGAAAATTCATTCATGTTAATTCACATTAAAACATTGCTAAATTAATTACCATATTCATTTTCCAACAATAATCTAGATGCTTTTGCGGCTGTTGCCTGATACCATTCTGCGCCAACCCTACCCAAGACATAATGCATAACTGTCCCAGTTGTAAACAGTTTTTGGGCGCCTACGAGCGAGTTAAATTTAGACGGTAAACACACACATCATGGTCACTTTATTTTGGCTAACCTGGTCACGTATACACACGATTAACGCAACTTAACTCGATTGATTTATTCAATGATTATATTCAATCATATTTATATTTGATATTATTTATATATTTTTATATCAACTTTTTTGTCGCCTATTTACTCAGATGTTATTTGTATGCAATTTTGATAATAATGTATGTTTTTGATTAGGGTATTGGTATGCAATTGTTCCTGATTGTAATATTTTTTAAGGCAGTTGTAATGGTTAGTGGGGTTTGTTGTGAGCAATAATTTTACATATGTTGCCAAAATACCCATGGTTATAATTTATAACTTATAAATACACTAATATTTATATGTCTATAATTTATAGATTATATAAATTAATATTAAGGTGGTTTTATTATGCATAATTAGTAATTATTAATTACTCTGTTTATTTTTGTTGTTACAACATTTATTATTATTATAGCCATGTTCATATATTTTTATTATTATTATCAATTGCTTATATAAATTATAAATGTATAAGCTAATACCCAATGGACGCAATCTCAATAATTGTTATTTATGTTACCGCAATTGATATTTATGTGTTCAATGGCATAATGGTTAACTACAAATAATGATTTTGTATAGTAATTATAACAATTTTGTAATTCATAAATATAAATCTATGTTATTAATATGTTAATCATGTAAATACGTTATTTTGTTTTGCAATCATGATGATTTCAAATAAAATGCTCATTTTTTAAATTTTACAAAATGTGATTTAATTATTAAATTATTTGCGTCATACAGGCATTCACTGTACAAACTTTGATTGACATTATTTAATTATGCATGATAAAAATAAGCTTGTTTTGTGAAATAATAATGCATTGTATTAAATAGAATATTTAGTTTTAATATGGTGAACAAATGTTCGCTGTGTCATTTTTGCTAACGCTAAATTATTACCTATTATTAATAGGCTATTAGAAAAAAATAATTATTAATTTTGAGATTGTTAAATATTTTAATGTATTTTAAAGTATGTTTTGTCATTAATACTGGGAATCATACGTACGGTGTATACTAAATATAGCAAATATCGATTGAATCTCTGGTTATTAAATCCTAAATATGAAATAACTATTACCAGAATATTCTTGCATTTCTCAGTATTTTGTATTAAAATTTATTTATTTAATTATTTTTGTATTCTATTACATATCAATCATAAAATCATTATTTTGAATATACATTTAGAATGAAACCATATAATAATAATTATGATAAAATTAGATTAAATTGGTAATGATTTAATATAACTAAACATTTATTATATCTTTTTTATAAATAAAATGAGAGA